AATATTAATTGAGGTTTTGGTGGAGTTCTCTTTGAGTGCTGGAAATTTTTGAAGAAGTTAAATCAAGAATCAGATGCTATGAAATGTGAAACAAATCAAAGTATGAAACACTGCAAAGCTATTACTTAAAAAAAATGGGTGCAGTCCAGGTCAGTTTAATAAAATCCCTTTATCTAAAATTCAGTTCCTTTAGATTCGGTGTTTTGATTCACATAGCTGGTTCACATTGTCTGACTGTCATCTGTAGAAATCTGCAGAGAGTGATAATTATTTGTGATGATTTGAGAAATGCTTATGCTTGGACTGTCAAGGATGAAAAATTGCTAGTTCCCCTTTATTGTAAAATGATGAATGTTTTTAGGAAAACCTAGAATTTGGTCTATAGAATAGACATGCACTAAATAGGGTAGTTATGGATACGAATTGTAAAAGCCAAGTATTAAAGTAGTCTAAAATATGTTTGTAATTTTAAGGCTGTCCATCAAAGTTGCAAGGATCTTATTCATGCTTTTTATGTGAAATCAGGATTGAAAACGTGCTTGTGTGTAACCTTATACTCAAAAACAACCCTCAAACCTTAAGCATTTGGGAAAATATAAATAATACTGAGAAACATTTTGCATATTGAATAGCAAACACCTCCTAGAACTCAGATGGTGTGGTTGATCGGCTGGGGAATGAGAGCTTGGAATACCTGAGAGATTTTAGTTAACTGAAATACTAGTTTCTCTCTATGCCACATAACTAGGACTGTTAGTGCCACCTATAGTTAGTCTATCTGACACTTTTCACTTTAAGACCTTGTTTTCAATGGATTACGAGCTTGCTGCATGCACCTTCTAAACAAATACCGTTAAGAAGAATTTGGTGGAGATGAGCTGTGGTTCATGCTGAGCTTAACAGTGCTACTGGATAGACCCAGCTGGGTGTTTAGCAAAGATGCAGCTGATTTTAATTGATAGCTGTTTGGACCACAGATAAGGGGAACACCACTGCAGCTTACATAGTTCTAGCTTAGAACAGAAGCCGAACCTCCAAACACAAGTGCAACTGAAGAATTAAAGGCAGACACAAAGTCTTTGTTAATGCAAACTGAAGAGAAAAAATAATTTAACAGAGCATGAGACTGCAAACCCAGTCACAATATTTATTCTCCTTATTCCACAGTCCACCAATTTGCTTAATTTTACATTATTTTGCCATGCCCAAATGTCCTGTTATCACTCCCAGCATAGGTTGATTGTGAGCCTGGTCACAGTAATGTGCAGAACTGGCAGCAGCTGCAGGCAGCACAATGGAAATAAATAAAACCCTGCCTTACAAGTGTGGCAGATACTTCTTTGCACACTAATTTTTTGTAGAGAGACAAAATATAATTAATGGAGTTTTTTTGAATGACACTTAGGTATTTCCATCCTTCTATTAAAAAAGTGCTTTCATGGCAGGTACCTGTGAACTGTATTGATCCCTGCTCCTATTAATGGTAGTACATTAGTTTTATTCAGAAAAAGAACCCTAAACCGCTAATTAAAAATGTCCTCTTTTTAAATCTGAACTTGCTGTTTGGCCAACAAGCTTTGAAAGTCCCTCAAAGATTATTTTATCCTGCTGTGCCTAAGTAACCAGAGGAAAATGACCATTTCATTACTGTGATTTACCTGGAATAACCTTTGCATGTCGGGGGTTGATGACTATCAGCTGGTTAGCATATATGTATTTCTGGTTAGTATATTCTCAAGACCACTATGCTCAAAGGCCCCTCCCCATACTGTACAGAAGACATCCACACAATCAGAATATAGTAGACGTAACTTTCCTCCCTCGTTGTTAGTCTGGGACTGATGGACATGAGAAGCTTCTGGGATCAGTGTCCCCAGACTGCTTTTTTTTCACTTCCTTTAGATGTCTCTGAGCTTCAGAACCTCCTGCTGTTCATGTTGCCTCCCTATTCAACTCAGTTGCTGCATCAGAAAAGGAAGAAAGAATTTTGGTCTTTACATGCCCTTCTTCTCTGTCCCCCTTTACAACTTCTGCAGGAAAATAAAAACCTGTGATCAAGTGCATCTATGGTGTTGTCAGTCCTTTCAGGGAAGAACAGATGCTTTTATCAGATGTCTTCCTTTAATGCCCAGCTGAAGTCCAAATTGAACCGTCACAGGACAGATCCAACACCGGCTTTATCACCATCCCCATGCTGCTCTCAGGGTAACCTGCACACATGCTTGAAAGTGTCCTTTCCCTAAGTTGGGTGGATTTAGGCCATAACTTATTGTGACTTCTTGAACTGAGGGATCAGCAGGGACCTCTGCTAATGACCATAGATGCAGCAGCTGTGTTGTCACATTTCTGCTATAGCCACATCACTTAACAGCTTTGGGGGAAGACAGTCTATGGCCCTAATTGTTTGAACTGCCCTTTGCCATGGGTTTAAGATATCTATCCCTTGGATCTTATCTCTGTGGCTGCTTCAATCTGTAGGGTGTATTTTCCTCATTAGTTGCAAGCACAGTTTCACTGCCCAAGCAGACCTCTAGTTTAAATGAATGTAGTCTCAATCTCTTGTAGTCTTAACTCTTTTCCCAGTTCCCGTCACCAGCTTTAGGAATGAAATTACTATGTGACTTAAAGCCTTGCTTGTAACTTAAAATAAGGAGGAACTGTCTTAGCATCAGATGATAACTCAATATTAATATGTAATTTCAAAATACCAGTTGAAAAATGCTGTTATGTCTGTGTGTCTTTCATATCACCCGCTCCTTCAGCGACAGCCAGCAGGACTCTGCTTCTCTGGGGGAAGCAGGTAGGTCGGCTCTTCCATTGGGTGTATTACTCAGCTGCAGAAGAAAATAGGTTTTGGTACAGCTGGCATCATTCTAGGACAGTCACTAAACTGGCCTATTTTTTTTCAATAAGCTGAAGATAATAGGCAAAAAAAATAAATGGAAGTAGAGCTTTCAAAACTGTGTTTCATCCGTGGTCCTTCACCCATCAGCCATGCCAAATGGTACTGCAATTTATGAGAACAGGGCAGTACCCGTTTAGTATTACATTGATATTTAATATGTGTTCTGTGTGCCACCAGGCAGGTCACAGCATGTGCGGAGCTGAATCAGTGTTGCTGTATACTTAGTAAATGTGGCTGACCAAACTTGTATGCCATTTCCTCATACTCCTTCGATTTTAAAAAGAGCGGGAGACAAGTAGCACTTCAAAATGCACAAGTATCATCTTTTAAATGAATTTAATGCAGTACAATCTCGTTTGCAATTGCAAATACTAAGGCTGCATTTTTCCCCTCAACTCCAAAGGCCTGAAAATCTCATTAATGTTAATGTATGGGGAAGAAGTACTTAGCCTATTGATGTAGGAATGAAATCAGGAGCAAAGCACAGCACTATGAAGATTCATCTGAAGATTAGGGTCTGAAGCAGCTATTAGATTATCAAATCTAACCTTCTTTCTAATACAGGCCATAGAATCTCATCCACTTAATTCTGTATTTATCCCAAGAACAGCAGCAGAGAAGTGAATATAGTGCATTAGCATATTGTAATGTAGCGGTATATTCAGACATTTCTTCTTTTTTAATTCTAAAACCAGAGACACACAGCAGTACTGTGCTATATGGTACTGATAAAAAGGAGGTCTGCAGGAGGAGACATTTCAGCATTTTATCTGTCTGCAGAGGAGAATTTGTCCAAATGCTTCATTGTAGGGTTGGGTGATTCATGTTAACTTGACTGGAAGGTATCAGATAAACACTTTTGAAAGAGTCAGCATACAAAGAAGGCCTCTTTGCTTATCAGAGAGGAAGGTCAGTGCTTGCCTTAATACTTGGCTTTAAAGCTAAACTAATTATTGAGCATAAGGCTCTTTGAAATCCACAGGGAAGTGGTGTTAAGTAAGTGTAAATAAAATTACCAAACCCTTCCCCCTGTTGCTTTGATGCAGTTTATTAGGAATAGGTAAAAATGCATTTGTAGCAGTGAGGGTGGGGCTGCATAGCAAAACACTCTGCCATGCAGAAACACTTCAGGTGGCTCTGAATAACCAAACACAGGAGCCTTTGCGTCCTTTGCTTGGGCTAATATTCGTTATTTCCCAAAGGAGCTCATTACCTGCCTTAGCAGAAGCTCTTCCTGTTGCTGCTGGACACAGTGTGGACAGGAGGTGAGAGAGTCGCCACCTCTGTGCAGCTGCTGTTTAGGTCCCCCCTCCAAGACAGATTACAACCTCTCTAAAGCATTCAGTAGCACTAATAACAGAAAGTTAGGGTGCTATTAACAAACCGATAAAGGGCTATGGGTGAACGTGGTGCTATGTATGTTAGAAGGCTACATACACTTTCTTTCTCTGTCAATATGGCTTTAACAGAGAAGTAAATTTATAGTTAATGTTCTCCTTGGTTCTCAAGAAATCACATCTGAGCGAATGTTCCCCTTGTTGAGTAGCAGGAATCTCCATGGGCTTCATTTCTTCTACCAAGGTCATAGTCAAGAAGCAAGCCATGACTAGCATAAAAGACATCAGCAAGAAGAGCACACACTGTTTTCATTTTGACAAGTTTTCCAACTCTGGTGTCTTCCTACCTCATCTCAGCAGCAAAAGGTCAGGCCAGGTCCAGCACTGCTGTAGCCTTGTGATGGATTGCAGAGTGGAGGGAAGATGTGTTTTCCTGGACTGAGAAAAGCAGTGACCACATGTCAGGATGAGGGTGCTGTAAATACACTTCCCGCCAGGCTGTGTGAGCACTCGTGCTCCTTTTGTGTTCGCTTCAAATCAAAGCCCTGGACACTCTGTGAACAGCATTTAAGCAGCACTCATCAAGAAGTTTGGAGACAAAAAGAGTTTATCTTAGAGCATAGGAACAATGTTTTTAGCCACAAAATGTACTGTTCTATACAGGCAGTAACCTACTTTTCTATGAATTTGCATAATAAGCAGAAAGGCAGTAAGAGTTTCCCAGACACGACTCACTGGTACCTGTGCTTCCTTTGCAGTTGTCCAACACAGCAATTCTTCATCAGATTAGACGAGACCAAGTGACAGACACGTGCCGAGCAAACAGTGTGTCTAGCAGGAAGCGCCGCGTGCTGACGCCCAATGACCTCAAACATCTGGTCGTGGATGAGGATCATGAAATGATCTATTGCTATGTTCCCAAAGTGGCCTGCACAAACTGGAAGAGAGTCATGATGGTTTTGACGGGAAGAGGCAAGTACAGCGATCCAATGGAAATCCCAGCCAATGAAGCCCACGTGTCTTCAAACCTGAAGACCCTCAACCAGTACAGCATCCCAGAGATCAACCACCGCTTGAAAAACTACATGAAGTTCCTCTTTGTCCGCGAGCCTTTCGAGAGACTGGTGTCAGCCTACAGGAACAAGTTCACCCAGAAGTACAACACCTCCTTCCACAAGCGGTATGGCACCAAAATCGTGAGGCGCCAGAGGAAAAACGCAACCCAGGAAGCTCTGCGTAAAGGCGACGACGTGAAATTCGAAGAGTTTGTGGCGTATCTCATCGACCCTCACACCCAAAGAGAAGAGCCCTTCAATGAGCACTGGCAGACTGTGTACTCCCTCTGCCACCCTTGCCACATCCACTACGACCTCATAGGAAAATATGAAACGCTGGAAGAGGATTCCAATTACGTCCTCCAGCTGGCAGGAGTAGGCAACTACCTGAAGTTCCCCACCTATGCAAAGTCTACGAGAACTACTGATGAAATGACCACAGAGTTCTTCCAGAACATCAGCTCCGAGCACCAAACGCAGCTCTATGAAGTCTACAAACTTGATTTTTTAATGTTCAATTACTCAGTGCCAAGCTACCTGAAGTTGGAATGAGGGATGGGTTGGGGGGAGAGAGGGGAGAGAAAGCCTGTTTTATTTAAGATTTTTATTTGTCATAATAAATATGGAGAATGGGTTATTTTGTAAATTAATATTTTCTTTTTTTTGTTTGTTTTTGAATGATGCTGCGAGCAGCACAGTCAAAATTATTTAAATCAATTGTAAGAAAGGACAGCTCTCTTTGCAGGGTAACAGGATTGTGACGATCTAGCTGTAGAAATTAATAATACTGCTACACTGTTTAAAAAACAAGATGTTAATTGTGTTCTGGTGAATTTCATTGATCTTGCATTCCTCCAATTCTAATTAATGTTATTTATACTTATTTAAAACATGGTCTCTTGGTAGGTGTCACTTCAGCAGCAGAGATAAGATAACGTTTGGACAATAGGAGACTGGTTTTGTGCTTTCCTCAGTTGAGCTTGTCTCTGGGTAATAATATTCTTCCATTAGCTATTGATGCAAGTAAATACAGAAGTGGTTCTTGATACTAAACACTTTAAGAAGAGTGGTGAAAAGAATCTCTTCAGAAAGTGATATTGTACTCAGGCATACTAAAAAAATTCCTTCTAGCTGTGAAAAGGAAAAGTAAAACAGATTTTGATAGATACACAATATCTAAAACCCATAACTGAAAGAAATGTGAATGTATTCTTTGGGAAGACAAACTATGAACCTTTTGTAAGTCTGGACTTAATGAGTTTATCAAGAATATGACCAGTCCTGTTTTCTCTTAATTTGAAGCCTGCCAGCCCAAATGATTACAGATTTGCAGAAAGAAAAAGAACAGCGTTTTGAAAGTCACTGTAGAGGTTTTTGAATGCCCAAAGCAATTGGTATTGATTTAATTCATGTCCAGGACGGGGCTGTGGGAAGCTTAGTCCTATGCAAGTCATGCCCAACTGATCTTAAGATGGACAACCAAAATTGGTTCAGGACAACCTATTGGTTCACCAGTTACAATATGTTGCTCTAGAGGATGTGGGCATGTAATCTGAAAAGTCAGAAAGTCATCTTTGTGTTGATCTCTAAACATGCAAGGCAATAAAAAAGGTCTCATCTTCCTACATGCTGGTTTCATGGCTGTTCCGTGGGGGAAGAGGGAGTCTTCTTTTTTTAGTTGATGCCTAAATACTATTGTCAGGGATGTTTATAATTTCCAGTGGGTTAGTATTTCATCTAAGTCAGTTCTAGTATGAGCCCATAACCTTTTACTTAAGATGAATGTCTCAATAGCAGTTTGTTGGGATTGGGCAGATTGTACCAGGCATCGTGTACTGAGCAATTGTTTTGGGCAAGCAAGTAGTAATCTATTCATGGCAAATAAATAATGAAAAATGAGATTTCAGTGTGGATCTGTCAGCAAGTTGGTAAGCGGAAGTACGGGCTTCTCCAGGTGTTTGATGCAGGTGAGGTGTACGGCCAAGGCGGCCTGCCTGGGGAATGGTCTGTAGCCGCCCCAAGCTGTGCTATCCTTGGGTGACAGCGTCTGCATTCAGCTCATGGGCAAAAGGAGGTGGAGGCTTCAATCAAGACACTTGTGGGAATCTAACATCAGTTTTAAAGTTGACTGATGGTTAAAATGGGGTTTTAATTTGCCTGCTTGTCAACCTTATGATCAAACCCCAATCCCTTCCAAAAATTAGTGAAGCTTTAAATAAACCCAGCTGAAGGCAGAGCTGTTTTAACAGTATCAGAGCCAGATCCTGAAAATGCTGTATTGTGCAATAGCCAGTAATATCCAGTGAATTACATTAGTCTCCAGGACACATATCTGGTTAAAGAAGAAAAATAGGTTCCATCTTATTTTATAAAAATAAGCCCCTGAATAAATCTCAGCGAAGAACAAATTAACATAACAAACAGCAGCTGAAGTCCTTTCGTGATTGGATTTGGTCTTAGTCATGATTCAGGTCCTTTCTTTTCTTTTATCATACCCTACAAATCTCTCATCCATTCTGGAACAGCCACAGTTTTCATAACCCAGGTCCTATTTATAACCCGGAGCGCTGACCCAGTGGCTAGTGAAGAGCTGGCTGGCTGTGCCTGACAGCTCTGAACTCCTGAGCGGCTGCTGACGCTGGCAGGCTGGTGTTCTACTTGAAAGCAGTTTTGCCTCATTTAGAGTACACGGAGCTGTTGCAAGTGCCTATCACAGTGTGCCCTGGCTTTCTGTTGTTTGTAGTTCAATAGTTGTTATGTTTGTTTAGAAAAAAAACTCTGTCTGAGGGTAGATCTCCTTCTTCCCCTCCCTCCCAGTATTTCCTGGAAGCTGTTTGTGTGCTTGTTTGGTCCTGTATCTGACAGTGTTCATATTTTGGTCTGATTTTCTCTTCACTTTTAGCTGTTAATTCCTCCAATAGAATGTGATGTGATTTTTTTTCATTTAAGAAAGAAGTTGATTCAGAAACTAAATATTTTTTAAATGGGGTGTGCTTCCCCGTTTCTTTTCTACTTCTCTCTGGTTTTATCTATTCTAAAATACTCTTTTTAATTTCACTGCTTTTGAGAAACAAAAACACTATTTGACAGCTATGGCAGAAAAGCTTTAGGTGAAAAATGTGTTCAGGAGATCTGAGGGGTGAGCCCTGCTCCAGCTGGGATTTTTAGCAGCAGCTTTGGGTTTGATTACCCAAGTTCTGCCTCTCCATAGAGGGCCACCCTATGGGTGGGTGCTCAGCACTGACATAGCTTTTATGTGGACTTAAGTAAGTACTTAAAAGTCACTTGCTTTTTAAAAACCCTGATCCCAAACTACTACAAACCATCCATTTGGTGTGTTACATCTATTTAGGGTGCTGTGAATGCGCTGCAGGTCTGTATTTAAAATGAACAGCTGATGTGCTGGAAGTGATCACATCCTGCACAGTGAGCACAAAGCCCTCACCAGCTCAGAGGAGGACCACAGATGTTAAGGAATAGCCTTTTTTTGGTCAGCTGGGTGTGTTGTTTTGTCTAAGTCAAAAAAGGGTCCAGCCTCCTTATCTCAGTGAGGCGGTGGCCACCACCTGCAGTGCAGGGGCAGCCGGGGATCCGGGTTGGTGTTACCCCAGCCTCTTCACTGGGTTTGTTAGCTGGAGGACAATGGGCTGCTCCCGAGCTCTGTCTCCCTCCCAGGTTCATTTCTGCTGTGGCCACAAACAGGCAAAACTGCAGCCAGAGCAAAATGTGAAGTACAGATGTGCCCGTGGGACTGTGAGGGCCACCTGGGGAGCTGCTGTTTTAGAAGGATGTGTGTTAGTTATGGTGGAGCAATGGTGAGCACAGAGGACCCAGCGGGGAAGGTCCCAAGGTCCCTTAAAGACACTGGGCTGGAGGAGCAGCAATCCCCGCATCTGAGTATCCAATGCCTCCATGTCACCCCAGCAGCGCCTATGGCTCCTTACCCAGCACAATGCCCACAGCTGAGGGTTCTTTCTCCCAAGACGGCCCCAAGCACCTTAACCTGGAGCCCAGGCTGGATTTGGCTTATCTGAACATGGTGGTGACTCCTGGGCTGTATGAGTTCCCCCCAAACCAGACTTGGTCCATGCTTTAGCCTCTTTGTAAACCATGTCCATTATGATCACAGAAACGTGCAAACTGCCTGAACCATGCGCTGTGTAAGACAAGTGAAATAAATAATCCACAAGCAGAACTGCTTTTAGAATTAAGTTGACCCCAGATGTTTTAGGGTTTCACTGTAGTCTGCTGCACTTTTCAGGTACAAAAAGGGACTGTCCTTACTATTACTCTTGTTACAGAGAGTGTTATTTTCTTACATGCATGCACAATACAATGTGTACGACTAATTTAACATCGATGTGGGGTTGGATTTTTTTTTTTAACCTATTTGTATGCAGTAGAAGGCTTGTTGTAGAAAAGTATCTCCTCATACCTAAATATACTGTTAATAAAGAGAAAAAGCTAAATTATACATTGCCAACACAAGTGTGGACTGCTCATGAATCTTTCCTTAAAAAAAAGCCATTCAAGCCTGATTATTTTTCTAAGTAACTTCAATTAAATTGAAGAAAGAAAGTTCGTCTCTGTGTGCTTTATTTCTGGCTCATGTTTTCAGGGTGGGATATTTGCATAGCTTTGCTTTGTCACAAGGGTTATTGTGGCAGGACAAGCAGAAGACAAAATTACCTGCTGCTGTGGAGCAAGAAAGCTAAACTCATCTAACAACACCATTCTTGCTCCTTCCTTCTCAAGTTCCAGCCAGCGAGGATGAGAGCTGTTGGTTTAAGACTAGTTGCATGCCCGTAAACATCATCCCACCTCAAGCAAGGGTGTTTAATCAGATGACATGAACTCCAGCTATCTGATGAGCTTTAGGCCACATGCTTGACCACCTTCATGTGCATTCACTACAAATGGATTCAAGTTAAACATTTCCAGCGGTACCCAGACCTGCATGGTCTCATCTGTGGTTTTCACTGAGGCCACATCTAACCCCAAAGCGGAAACTTCCAAGTGGACTTTGAACAAACTTGCGAGGAAATCAGCATGCTAAATTATACTTGGGAAAAGCATATATTTAGGCAATAACTGCTCTCATCATGACTGTGTTGTTGGAAGGGACCCTGGAGGCCAGCTGGGCCACCCTACTGCTGAAGGTCACCAAGACCACATTGGCCATGGTTTTGATTAGCCAAATCTTCAATACCTCTGGGGATGAAGGGCTCAGAGCTTCTTTGGGTTCCTGTTCCAGTGCCAGACTACCCACCTAGCAGAGATGGTTTTTTCCTAGTGGCCTTTTAACTTGTGCCCATCATTTACTACTGCTAGGAGAAGAATTTGGATTCACTTTCTTTCAAAGTCCCCTTCAAGTGTCTGTAAACAGGTGTAGCTAGACATGCCATCACCAGACTAAGTAAGGCCAGATCCTTCAACATCTCCTTGTCAGTGATATACTTTAGGTCACTGAACATCTTGGTATCCTACCAGTGTAATCTCCTCAGCAACTTACTTAACATCCCTCTTGAACTGGAGAGGGCTCCAAAACCAAATGTCCTTCTGAGTGCAACACTGCCAGTGTCAAACACATCATTTAATCTGCCAGGCCCACAAGGCAAACGTTGTCCACGATGAGAGCTGGGACAAACAGAAATAGGAAATGTGCTGAGTAGGTATCACAGCACATGGTGAACCACTTGCTGCCTTTACAGCCCAAGCCTGTTCCTACCTCAAAGGCCCCACCACTCTGCACTCCCTAATTAATAGGTGGAACTGCAGCATAGTTTCCTGAAATCACAGCATGGCTGTGCAGTATTAAGACAAAACTGTCACATTTCAAAACATTGGTGATTTGAGTCCTCTGCAACCTCGGAGAGAGAGATAAAGAAGGTCTCAAGAAGGACTCAATCTAAGTAAGCAATCAGCCAAGCTCTGGCTGATGTGCTGATTGCTATGCCTCCCGTGGCAGGGCATGGATTATATAGGCTTTTAAGTGTTGCAGTCCTGGTCTAAGCAGGCCACTGCCCTGCCCTGAGAAAGAGTCCATCGGCTTCAATGGCATCTGCATGCACAAATACGAAGTGTGGTGTCATGGAGGAATGAGGACCAGGAGCACTGGGGACAGATGGGGCAAGGGACAAACCCATCTGCACAGCTCAGCCTGGGAGGGGGTGAGCTGGAAGGCTTTAGAAGGTTGAAGTTACATGCACACAAATCAGAAACTTGATGAAAATACATTTCATTTAATTCTTCCATAATTTAAAAAAAAAATGTTTAAGATCTGGGCATTTGGAAGAAAGGAAAAAAATCAGAAATGCAGCTAGCAGAGTGGAAACTAGAGCATATGATTCCTGACCAGAAGTGCCCCGCTCTTCTCAGTAGCTGTGTTAACACATCATCACCTACAAGACTCCTGATGCCACACAGAAGTATCTTCCTTTTCCTCATGCACTTACAACTTTGCCAGAAAATTAGAGTATGGTTTTATTCTTTGGTATGCTAAAGGACAACGTATCCAAAAGCCACCTCTCCAAATTGCATGCAAATCAGTTTTAAAAGGATTGTGTTAAAAGAGAAAAATCAGCTTTATTTTCCATATCCGCATGATCAACAGCTGACCTGTTCCCCCTGTTAATTGAAATGTCACTCTACTGCAGCACTGAAGCCTTTGGACTATGAGGTTCAACTCATGGTCAATAAATGGTTTCTGCTGGCTAAGTCAATGGCACTTAGGACTGAGAGTAGTGAATTATTCATGGTGGAAAAATATAAACAATATTTTTATTCATTTATACATTGTTTAAAAATGTATTTTGCCAATGTTTTAAAAATGTTACTGACTTTGACATTGAAATTGATTCCTATTTTCTGAGTAAAGGCAGGCCTGAGATAACATTTCT